CTGTGCCCTCTGCCTGGCCAGCTGGGCCTCAGACAAAACGGCTCGCAGCCATCCTGAGCCCTGGTGGGACGGGGGTCCTCAGCTCAGGCCGTCGAGCCTCCCGGGGCCGCCAAAACCACCCAGTGAGCCTGGCCTGCAAGCCCGGCCTCATCAGTGGGCCTGAGCACTGCCCCACACCTTCCCGCAGGAGCAGCTGTCTGGAGAAATCCACACAGCCCAGTGACGTTGTTACACCACCCGGATGGAGGCAGGGGTCAGCGGCAGGCCCAGCTGCCAGGAAGGGCCAGGCCATCCACAGCCACGTGCGGCTGCCCACCCCTCTGCCAGATGGCTGGACGGGACCTGGCTCTCTACTCCCTCACCCAAGGTGTCCCTCACCGAATAGTGTTCAGTGACCTGTGGCAGCGAGTTCTGCATGAATCTCCTATTAGAAACAAACCAGCCCTGCACGGGCCCCCACGTCACACTGTTTGCTGAAAGGAGGCTCTGCAGGAGTGGGGGCTCGTCCCTCTGCAGACCCCCAGGGAGCCCTGGGGGCAGCCCTTCCTCAGAGGCACAGACAGTCCAGCTGCCTGACATTCCTGGATCCGGACTCCCGAGTGGGGCTGGCTGGATGCAGAAGGTGCCCCTGGGAGAGGAGCAACAGAGACTCGGTGGGCCCCACGCGCCTTCCGGATGGCCTGTCCCCACGGGGGTCCCTGAGATCGGTCAGAGCCACAGGCTCTGTGTCCCGCCCCCAAGGGCACGGCTGACTCCTTCGCGGCCAGGTGCCTGCAGGTTCTGGTCCTGCCTCTAGCCTCCGCTTGCAAGACACCCAAGACACCTGGCTTAGCTGATCTGGCTCCCGCCTGCATCAGACCTGGAGTGTCCTCAAGGCAGGGATCTAGGTTAACTTGTGTTTGTGTCCCCAGCACTCAGGCCAGTGCCTGGCACAGAGCAGAAGGTCAGTAGAGAGGTACTTAGTGAATGAACAGATAAACCCATTGATCCAAGCATCTACATGCTCCACGCAGCCTCAGGTAATGTGACCCCAATCTGTGCCCCTTCATTAGTGCAAGGGGACCAGTAGTGACGACCTCACAGACTTGCGTAGGCTGGACACACCCCATGGAAAGTCTGGGTGCGGGTCAGGCTCCCCAGGTGTGAGGGCGTCATTCTCTCGGAGGCAGGGCACGGGGAGGCCTCACGTAGCCACTCTCTCAGCTGGCACTGTCTCAGGCCCCAAGCGCTACCTGCGCATCGCAGCTCTCGTGGACGGGTGCTCACGGGTGGGGCTGCCCAGTGGTTATCTGGAGGCCATGCCCTGGAAGTGCCCACTCTGTAATGTAGCCAACACAGATCTGCACCGCTGCTGCCAGTGGAAGCGAACCACAATTACTGATGCATTGTGGACGCTGCAAGAGGTTATCGGTGAAGGTAAAAAGGAGCACAGCAGCAGGACGGTCAAATCAGAGTGGCAAGCGGTTCACCCCACCACTGGGTATCTATGGAAAAGGCCCTGGAAACAGACTGTCTATCAGGCAGCGTGCTGGGCTCTGCAACCCGCCCTTCCAGCCAGAGGTGCAGCCTCCAGCAGTTTGTAGGACCATCCTGGACACAGTCAGGAGGCGTCTGGGAAGCTCCCGCCTAGGGATGCTGACTTGGGGCCCCACCTCAGGTCCTGCGTGCGGCCCCAGGCCGTGGCCCCACTGCAGCTCTGTCCTGCTCTTTGCCCTGACTTTGGACGCTCTCCAGAAGGAGTGGGTGCCCATCACCCCCAGCATCCCAGCATCGCCCTCTGCATGACCGCGCATAAGTCCGGTGGTCCCTCACTGGCCCTAGGCCCACCTGGGCCTCTGAGAGGCAGCGAGCAGGCACTCGCCAGATCACAGGCACCCCTCCTGACCTTCAGTGAGGGTTTGGTGCCCTCAGCACCTCTGGTTTATAAATAAGAACCCCAGGCTCAGACAGCTTGTCCACTTGCCCAAGGAAGTCACATCAGGCGGAAGCAGGAGAGCCAAACCAAGACGCACAGTGGCTTTGCGCCGATGCCATGCCCGTCCGTGACATGCGCCACCACCATTATCACACACCAAAGGTTGACGGCTTTACTCTGCCACCACCCCATAGAATATTAACTTCAGGGACCCCTCATGGAGGGAATGACCCCAAAACAGGAAAGGCTCTGTGTACAAGGCACTGCATGAAACTTACATATCAAGCAACATCTGAAAACAACCAAAACATCACATAACAAGTTCAAAGTTATTTTGCATCCACTGATGAAAGTAGGTGAGGCCTTTAATAGCATTGGTGAGACACGTGTACAACACGGGAAATGCTCATGTTTCACCACATGTAAGAAAGGACACAAAAGTACAAATACAGTTTGATTATCTCTATGCACAGAATTTAAATTCAGGGATAGCAAAAAGGCTGAAATGCACAGAAATGGAAAGAAGCAGAGGCCATTCTGGGGGTTGCAAGAGGGTACTTTCTCCTTCCTGGTTTTCCTTAGCTCTCTACAATGACGATGGATCCCTTTTACGCAGTGATCTAGCGGAAACATCAAGATTCCAGTGTGAAGACATCTGCCTTTGACCCTGGACCTGTTACCATTCAGCTGGGCAGGGCTGGACAAGACCAAGTTGGCCAAACTAGGGTGTCCCTGGGGGGAGAAGGAGGTGTGCAGCGGGCTGAGGGTCAGAGTGAGGGCACAAAGCCCTCGCCTCGCCTGGCACGGGATATGCACTTTCCAATGGCTACCTTAAAGCAGCAGTCCTTAGTTCTTTAAGCTGCCCACGTGAGCCTGCTGACAGAGAAGGCATCTGTCAGCCCAGGCCAAGCAGGCCCACGGTGGGAAGCTCCAGAAGCCCCTGCCAGTGAGGCTGGTGGGGGCCAGGCAGCCTGTGCAGGGAGGCCTGAAGCCCTCAGGTCAGGGGACCTGGGACCACCCCAAGTCATGGGTGGGTGCAGGGAGTGGGGAGATCCAGGGCCCGGTTAGGGGCGAGGAACCGCAGGCCCGAGGCGTGGGGCCCAGACAGAGGAGACAGAGACAGCTAGGACCCTACCCCACTGTGGACAGACGGTGGGCAGGAGGGGGGCAAGCAGAACTCTCTCAGCGCCACCCCACCGGACCTGTGCTCACAGCAGAAGCCAGAGAGTCACCGCAGGAGTCCCAGGCCCTGGTGTCCACGCCATGATCCTTGGGTACAGGGCCACTTGACAGAGCAGCTTAAGAGCTTTAGAATGTTCACGTCTTTTGACCTAGTAGCTCCAAAACTAGGAAGTTGGCCTAGTCAGAAAACCAAACCAAAAGCTGTACATAAAGATGCTCACTGGAAACAGCCAGATAGGGGGATCATTAAACTGATTATTGCACTGCCATCAGGAAAACTGTGTGCCCTGTGTCTGAAGAATGTTAATGCCTAAGGACAGGAGCCGGGCTGTGGCAGACGTGCCAGGACGCAGTGTGACAAGGCTGCCACTACCAGGGGCACCTCACGGCAACAGCTCAGTGCCCCGAGCAGAAATGCCTGTCGGGTCCTCATGCTATTTGTTAAGTCACGCATCTTCTCCAGGATACACCATTAACACCTGCATTGTTTGCCAACATGCGGGTACCACATGCCTAGGACAGGCGGCCCAGACACGGTCAACTGCCAAAGAGAAAGGGGACACCTGCGTGGGAACCAACACAGACGCGGTGAAGGCCTCGGAGCTGCCCCAGGCCCCTTCCTCATGCTCCGCAGTGACTCAGACCCTCCCGGCTGCTGCGCTGTTGGCAGTGGGCTGCTGTGCCCTGGGGAACAGAGTCCTCTGGGCTGACGTGACACCCTCATTCATGCTTTGTTGCATTTTGTTTCATGGGGCCCCGTTCCCAGAAGCCTGAGGGTGTCTGACCCTCCTCAGCTGCCCACACGTACTGTAGGTAGCTGGCCATTCCCAGGTAACCAAGACACAGGACATTCCAAAATTCCAACCTGGAAGCGTCCGGGCTGAGGTGGCTCCCAGAGGAACACACAGTGACACCCTCTGAGAGCCAGGAGCCCTCCTTCATCTCTGGCTGGGTGAGGGGGAGAGCCGCCTGCGTGTAAACCCCGTCCACTAGCAGCCTCGCCGGTGGGAGCAGGGAGCCCGGCAGAGATGCAGGGAGGGACGCCAGGGGAAAGGTTTGCTTTTCCCTTTCCAGCCCCTGGGATAATGTTCATGGGCATCGAGCACACAAAAAGGGGACACTGACATGAATAACTCACTGGATTAAAGACCAGCCACTAATTTACAGTGATTTCTGGGGTAAAGGAAAAAAAATCTATAAATATAAACATTTATAACTGATTGAAGCTGACCCAAAGTACATCACAAAATGAAACCTTTTCCAGAGAATAATAAAGCCTCTCACTTCAACAAAAATACTACATTTAGTTTGTTTCTCAACAAAATCTTTTCGCCTGCTGTTTAGAAAGGCAGAGACTGTGGGGAAAGCTGCTGGGTTGGTTTACACGCTAAATCACGGCGACCTCTCGTGGGCCGAGCCCCAGGCTGTGCCCTGATGTTCACCAAACACACACTCTTCCGTGCTGACAATGTGACAAGCTGTCACAGCAACCCCAGGACAGAGGAGGTAATAAGCACACCCTGTTCTACCTGGCCACTCGCGGTCCAGACGCATCTGCAGAAGACACGCCCATCCTGACATGGACAAGCATGGCCACGCAGGACAGCAGACCACAGCAACTGGAACCTGAGGGGGTCTGGACAGTTGTTCCACATCTGTGCGTGCAGGGTGCTGATGCTTTCACAAGTGTGTGCTGAAGGTGCCCGCAGACGGGTGGGTGCAGACCTGCCCAGGGCCACCCGGCAGACACAGACGCATGCACGCATGCACACAAAGACGCCAGCAGCACGCGGCAGCTCCCCGGTGCCCGAGGTTCCCACGAAGACCTCAGGACCCACCGCCACGGACGCGCTTGTACATTAGAGGCCCAGGGCTCTTTCCCCGGGGCACCAGGAGTACTCACCCCACTGCAGAGGAGCCAGCTGCAGGTGCTCCAGGACCAGCTGGCTCAGCAGACCTTCCACGCTCGCCTCGCCTGTGCGCTTCAGGGAGGGGTGACATCAGTCAAGGAAAACCCGGCTCCAAGACAGACTCCCGGGCAGGAAGCCTCCCACAGCCAGTGTGTGCCCCCCCGTTAAGTGACGGTCCAACCAACCATTAAACCATCACCTGCTGCTCCTCCCCCTCCCCCCAAAACCAGGTAACCTGAGCTGCTGTCAGATAAAGAGGGGAAATCACTGGGAGATTTTAATCTGACGGCTACATTTGCTGGGGGAAATAATGAAAATGGAGGTTGTGGTTCCATAACAAAGCGTGAAAACTATGGCTCACGGCCCGGTACAACCAAACGCATACTTGAAGCATGTCAGTTCCATGCTGGTTTCCGGTCTGTCCTCTTACATCATGACGTAATCACACATATTATCACAAGTGGGCACTTAACGTGAGTTCATAACTGAGAAAGTCATAAAGTCTCTCAGCAAGTGGATGAAGACATCAGGTTCAGAGATGCAGGAAACAGGCCTCCAGGCACTGAGACCCGGCAGCCCAGCAGTTCTCAGAAGCAGACCCGTAAGGCCCTCTCCCTTTCCTTATACATCAGAGCCCTTCTACTGAAGCTGCAATGGGAAGGGAAGGATTCGATTCCCTACAGTCTTTGGTGACTGGGGGGCAAGGGGGGAGCCTTTTTCTTCCTTTAGCAAGTTAATGGCATGAACAAACACACAGTGTGTCTGAAACGAGATGCGTTGAGGATGCTGGATGATGAGACAGAAACCTAGAACTTGAGAGGCTGACATGTTGGGCAAGACAACACAGTAACGGCCTGGCACTCGCCAAGCCAGAGGACAGCTGCGTCAGGATAAAGCCGTGCGGGCAGAGAGGGACGGGCCGAGGCCGCGGGTGAGGGGACACAGGGCCCGAGGGAATGCAGACCAGAGCTCCCAGGTCTCTCCTGCCAACGGACTGGTGCTTCGGGGTCTCTGGTCATCCGTGTGCTACACAAAGGGGATGTCTGAGCGCAGAGGCCCCAGGCAAGGTGAGGGCACCACCCTCCAGCAGTCCAGACCAGCACCCAGAGGCCGGCCATGTGCAGAGCGGGCCTTGGAGGGGAGCCCAGCGGTGACGTGTGGGGACACACAGGACCTGTGCCTATGTCTCCACCCCGAGTCCTCCTTTGGCTACTGTGGACTTTTAGTTCTCCCAGAGCAGCACATGCTCCCTGGATTCCCTACGCTCCCATATTCTGTGCTCTTGCCTGGAAACGCCTTCCCTGCCTCCCCCCAGCCCCCACCAGACTTTATTTACCCTGTACCTCTCAAGCCTCCCCTGGGGCCTGTCCCTGCTCTGAAGGCCCCTAGGCATCCCCCTGGCAACCGGCACAAGCTGTCTGGCCTCACCACTAGCCTGTCTGCTGCATGAAGACAGAGCTCTCGTCCTGGGGCCCAGGACAGTACCTGGTTCAGTGTAGCTCAGTGAACAGTTTCATGAATAGATGAATTCAGATGAGTAAACATCTGGGCCAGTGCTGCAGGGGTCACCCCACATCTGCCTCCAGTGCCCACAGCCCCTCCATGTGCAGCCCAGAGGTGGGGAGACCCAGAGAGCTTCCCCCACCTGGTGCACACGGTCCCGCAGATGGCTCTGCAGGTGCTCGGGGCCTGTCCGCCTCAAGCTCCCACCCACCCATGTCGTTTGTTTCACCCCATCCAACCTGAGGGTCACACGCATCCCCTCTCTTCCTCACCTCCCTTCAACTAAGATCTGAGCGCTGGGCAGCTGTTACTGGAAATCTGGGGTCACACAGAGGTGTTGTGGCCCCAAGCAAATGGCACAAGCCCTCTCCTCTCCTTTCAGTGGGAAGGCAGCCCTGTGCGGGGTGGGGGGCTCTGGGGGTCCTCAGCCTCACTGTGCGTCTTGACACCACCACTGATGAGCAATGGTCAATTCACTTCAGCTCTCTGGGTCTGTTTCATTATCTGTAAAATGGGCTTAAGAGCAACACCAACTTCACAGCATCGCCATGGGGGATCAATGGGAAGCAGCCCCGGCCCACAGCTTGGGTCAGGTGATGGCCCTGCTGTGGGTGTCATTCACCCCTCCTGGCACCCCTCCTCAGGAGACAGATGCGCTCTCTCCCACCTCGGGGATTCAGCCACCACTGGTCGCCTCAGACTCCTTAGGAATTTCACCCTATCGTAAGCATCTTATCAAAGGGTTTCTTCCACAGATAATTCTCTCACTAAGAAAATTCCCCAAATGAAAATTTTTTGATCTCATACACAGTCTGCTTGTTGAACTGATATCATGATTGCCATAAACTTCACACAGCACTTTTAATTATCTTATATGGTTCCGTGACAATCTAGGAATTAGGGCTCATTCACCTCATTCACTAGTTCAACAAGTTGCTAACGGAACAGATGTCTGGGGAGAGGGGTGGTCATCTGGGTGAGGCCTGAAGGTGGCTGGGGAGGCAGAGCTGAGGCTGGTCCAAGCCCCACGGCACCCCTTGTGGCTTGTGGAGGACAGGCCTGCAATCAGAAACTGCCACCTTTAAATTCACTGAGCGATACATTAAGATCTGCGCATTTTATTGTACGTATCTCAATAAAAGAAGAAGAGAAAATTCCAGCCTTCAGCAACCTCATGTCTGGGTTCGCACCTGAAAGCAGTGACAGCAGGGACTCAAATAAATCACCACGCTCACCGCAGCAAGAGTCCCAACAGCCAGAAGGTGAAAGCAACCCAGTGTCCACAGACAAATAGGTGAATAAACAGCACATGGTCTGTCCACACAATGGATATCAAAGCCCTAAAAGAAGGGAAATTCTGCAGTACACCACAGCACGGATGGGCCTGGAGGGCTCTTGTGAGATGAGTCTGTCACTACAGGACAAATACTGAATGATCCCACCTATGTGAGGTCCCGAGAGCCCATAGGTTCATAAAGACAGAGGAGAAGGGTGGTGCCAGGGCTGGGGAGGAGGCACTGAGCTGGTGGTCACTGGGGACACAGGGTCAGTTTGGAAAGATGAAAAATGCTGGAGATGCTGGTGGCTGCACAACCAGGTGAGTGTGCCAAATGCCACACAGCTGGCGGTGAGGATGGGGAACTGGAAAACAGAACGTGTATTCCTAAGGAAGGGGGCCTGTGACTGGGACCAGCGGTGGACACCCTGAGGTGCAGTGAGCATCTGCAGAGAGCAGGGTCCCCAGCGGTGGGGGCGTCTTGAGAGCTGAGTGCCACGGGAGACCAGGAACATGGCAGGACAGGGCCAGGGCGGGAAGAGCGGGGCACTGCAGCAGAGGCAGAAGCCAGTTCCGCACAGGCTGGGAGAAGTCCAGGGAAGCGGGCAAGGGCGGCAGCAGTTGGCACGTTTCCATTCAACAGAGGGTGAAACTGAGGCTTCAGAGCATGAGAGCTGCAGTGCCCACACCCACGGCCTCAACGCCGCAGTGGAGGCAGCTTCCCCGTCAAGCCGATCACCTATCTGTGGGGCTCATATGGCCCCTGTTTCCTTCCCATTCCCAGGCCAGTCTCAGCAAGGGGTGGCCCCTTCTCAGTGCCAGGTGGGAGTGTGCGTGCAGGAGGGCATCAGGGAGGGCCCAGGGAAGCCACAAAGGCCCAGCCCAGCACCCTGCAGCTCCATTATCTTGGCCAAGCCAAGTCCTATTTTCCCCACGAGGAACCTACCCAGTGGAAAGCCTGGTGTCTGGGTTGTCTGGGACCTCAGAGATGACCTGCACAGCCCCCTGCCCCTGCCTGAGTCAGGGCAGGGCAGTCACCCCCTGCAGGCACAGTCTTAGAGATGGGCCAGGGCAGGCGTCTGGTCTCAGGAGCCTCCATTCAGTGCCCCTAAAGCCCCTGCTGGGAGCACGAGGGCTGCCCCGATCTCAGGGGTAGCCCCAACGCCATGTCACGTTAGGTACCTGGGAGCCCCCAGGGGACAGTCCACAACCAATGACTGATTGTCACAGGGAGGGAGTGGGCAAAGGCCAACCCTGCTTCACGATGAGACCAATTTCTGGTCCAGTCAAGCTCTAGAACGAGGCCACCCCTCATCTTCCCCACTCACTCTGCTGTGCCATCCCCCCTGGGCTTCTCCAGGGCCCTGCTCAGGCTTTATGTATGTAATCAAGCTGAATGGGCGGGGCCCAAAGCCACCTGGATGGGTTTTCTCCACCTAAAGACAGGGAAGGAGAGACTGGTCTCTGCTATGAACTCTGAGCTCCTGAAAACAACTTACTCTGCCCAGAACCTAAGATGTGTCACCTAGGCCCAAAGTGGGGTCAGAAATGACCGTGGTTGTCTGTGACAGGCTACTTGGCTCTCAAGAGAGAGCTGTTCAGCACAGTGCATCTGGCTCCTGCAGCAGCCGAGGTTAGTGGGGTCCCCTTTCCCAGCACTGGCCCCAGGTCACGCTGCCTTTGCAAACAGCCGCACTCCTGAGTGAATGTCAACCCATTCTCCTTCCCCAGAAATGTAATGTTCTCAAGAAGAGTTGCTTAGTATTAAGAATTTACTGGCTGGGAAGATCTCTGTCTTTACGAACAGGACACTCACTGTACTGTGTTTAGTTTCATGGATAATGACTGAATGATTATTTTTCTTCCTTTCAACCCACAGGTCTGAATATTCTAATTTTAACACACAGTACATCACATTAATTACTTCTCAAGGTGAGGAACGTGAAAGGAAGAGAACCTAATCAGGAAAAGTGTTCTGGAGGAAGGGGGTGTGCCTGGCACAAGCAGGGAGGGAAAGCCACCCGCTGGCCAGCGAAGGGGCAGGCACCTTACCGAGGCCTCTGCACTGCGCCCTGACTTGGGTCTTGGTGAGGGCTAAAAGGGAGCCAGGACTCTGCCCCAGGGCTGCATGCTCGGCCCTGCTCCCTGGTTTGTGCGCAGGCACCCTCCAGGCCTGAGCTCGGCAGCCCAGGCCCCACCCCTTGGAGCCTGCAGTCTGAGGGCAAGAGGCGGTGGGGCTGGCGGCCGGTGGGCCCCCTGCTATGCAGACTGGAGGAGACAGCAAGCTACTCCGGCCTCTGTGCCC